TCCGCTTTTCTTCAGCTTTTCCTTTGCTTTTCTTTAGCTGTTCCTTAGGTTTTTAATGTGTTCATCCAGTTTCCTGGGTTTTTTTCATTACTCCTCAAGTTTTTGTTTTAGTTCTCGTGGCTTTTTTCGCAGCTTTTTCGTTAGTTGTTCAGCCTCTCCTTTGCTCTTTCAGCGTTCCTTTAGTTTTCTGTTGCTTTTCCTTAGTTTTCCCCAGCTCGTTCGACAACTCCTTCTTATTTCTTCAGCTGCCCCTTAGTTTTCCTAGCTTTTCTTTGGTTTCCTTCAGGTTTCCTTAGTTTTACCTTAGCTTTTCCTCAGATCTTCCTTAGCTTTTCCTTAGCTTTTACTTGGCCTTTCCCCTGCTTTTTCGCTGCTTGTCCTAAGGTTGTCCTAGGCTTTTCTTTAGGTTGTCTCAGCTTTCCTTTAGTTTGTTTTGCTTACTTTTTAAGCGTTTTGTAGTTTTCCTAGCTTTTCAGTTTTTTTCCTAGTTGTTCCATTGGTTTTTCTTGGCTCTCTCAGCCTCCTCCATCGCATCCCTCCTTCTCATCATCATCATCCTTCCTTTTTCTCCTCTCTCTCTTTCTCTCCCTCCCTCCCTCCCCCTCTCTCTCTCTCTCTCTCTCTCTCTCTCTCTCTCTCTCTCTCTCTTTCTCTCTCTGTCCCTCTCCCTCTCCCTCTCCCTCTCTCTTTCCTTCTCCCCGCCTTCAGTTCCAGCGCGGTTCCAGATTTTCAGAGGGGCTCTCAGTGCTCGCGTTTTGGTCGAGACTGTCGTCCTTCTCAGTGCTCTCAGTGCTCGCATTTTAACCGCCTTCTCAGCTATGTCAGCGACCGAGGCGCCCGGAGATCAGGCGCCGAGCGCAGGCGCCGCGAAGAAATGTCTGAGGTTGCTTCTTTCCTTCAGTCAGTCCGATTCAGTTGTCTCACATTCAATGGCGCTGCCGCGCGACTCCGCCACCGCGCTCGGGCGGGCGACCGGGGGGCGGGGCTGGGGCGCCCCATTGTTGCTTGGACGCAACAAGGGGGGGCCCTAATTATTGTTTCGCAAGGAGCGAAAGAACCCGACACGCACCAAGGACATCTTCGCAAATTCTAACGCTTCGCGCGATCCCCACCAGCCCATCCAGAATCTACCCGAATGAGGAGGAACATCAATTGTTGTCAGTTTTTCCATAGGTTTTCTCAGCTTTTCTCAGCTTTGTGTTTCATAGGTTTCGTTTGTTTTTTTTCAGCTTTTCCATTGGTTTTCTTAGGTTTCCATGCGTTTTCTTCAGCTTTTCATTGATTTTCAGTGTATCTTTACTTATCTTAACTTTTCTTACCTTTTCGATAGTGTTGTAGCTATCCCTTTGCTCTTTCACATCTTTCTGTAGTTTTCTCAGTTTAGTTGTCCTCAACTCTTCCTGCGCTTTTCCTGAGTTTTCTTCAGATGTTCGTTAATTTCCGCTGCTTGTTCTCAGTTTGTCCTCCGCTTTTAGTTTTTTTTTGTTTTCCTATCATGCTTTTCAACAAATGCTTCTGAGCTGTTTCCTTAGTTTTCCTTAGGTTTCCTTCAGCTTCCTGAGGTATCCATAGTTTTCCTTTGTGTGTGTGTTTCCAGCTTTTCCTTCAGCTGTCTTTCATGTTTTTTTCAGCTTTTCTTTAGTTTTCCTTGGGTTTTTCAGCTTTCCGGAGCTTTCCTTCAGCTTTCGAGCTTTTCCTTAGTTTTTCAGCTTTCCTCAGCTTTTCTTTAGGTTTTCATCAGGTTTCGAGCTTGTCCTTAGTTGTCCTTAGGTTTCGTTTGCTTTTCTTCAGCTTCCCTTAGGTTTTCTTGGTGTTCCTTCAGCTTTTCTTTCGCTTTCTTTAGGTTTCCTTAGCCTTTCCTTAGTTTTCCTTAGGTGTTCAAGTTTCCTCAGCGTTTCCTTAGGTTTCTTTCAGCTTTTCTTCGGGTGTCCAGGCTTTATTTTTTGACGGACGGGTGCTCGGGTGACGCCGCGGTGCTGGGCGGCGGGGACGCCCCGGGATGGGCCGCCCCGTGCGACGGCCGAAAAAACACAATGTCTCAAAGGGTTGTGCAATAGAAATCGCCGATGACGACGACGAGTGCGGCGACGACGACGGCGGCGGCAATCTCTATTCAATGTTTCCTTGCCCTTTCCTGACGTTTTTCTTCAGCTTCGCCTAAACCTTCCCTGAACTGGGCCCTAGCTTTTCCTTCGCGTTTCCTCTGCGATTCCTTGACTTTTCCTTAGCGTGTTCCTTTGTTTCGAGTTGAATTTCAATATTTCCGCAGCTTTCTTCAGTTTTCTTTACTTTTCCTTAGCTTTCCCAAAGCTTGCCCCGAGCTTCTTGGGGGGCGGGGGGCAGGCGGGGCAGGCGGAGGGGGGGGGGGCGCGCTGCTCCCGCCCGTGCGCTGCGAATGCAGCGGCGGCTCAGTTCCGACTGGGCTGACGACGAGGAGATCTTCAGGCGCCTGAGCGAACTGGGCGTGGAGATAGCCGAAAAGCCTCAGGGCAAACATCCGCCGCTCCCATGATCGAGGTCTCGGGGAGGAGGAATAGTTGAATGGAGTGAGGAGGAGAAGGAAGAGCATGAGTAGCAGCAGTAGTCGAATTAGGATGGGTGAGGAGGAGGAGGGAGTTCGGCTGGAGAAGCAGGCGTCGGTCTGGCAGCGTCCTCTGCCCCGGCGGGAGGGGCGCGGATATCAGCAGCCAGCAGGCTTCGAAGATTCAGTCATTACCTGCTGGAAAATTCAGCAGCAGGCGAAAGCAGCCAGTTGCAGCATCGGCCTCAGAGACACGTTCGCGGGCGCTCTGTCCGACTCCGCACTCTGCGCGTCAGCTGCGTTCGGTCAGCTTTCTGTTTTCATCAGGGGAAAGATGACGGCGGCGGCGCAGGTGACAGACACAGACATAGCTTTCAGGCTGAAGGCCAAGGTGAGGCGGAGGCAGCTTGAATTGAGGAAAGAGTTGCAAAGGCTGGCTCAGATGGAAAATACCAGAGCAGCGTTTGAGTGCGGAACATACGAGGTCCTCAGGACTCCAGCCGAAGCCATTGAGGACTTGAAGAGTGACTTTCAGCGGGGCGAGACGCTCAAGAAGGCGTGCGTCAGGAATCTGTGGACAGTTCTGAGGCCTAAGCCCACCTCAGGCCGCTTCGAGAGGGCTAGCGATGAGAAGTGGTTTCGGGACAGCGACTTGAGGCTCGGGGCGCACCGTCTGCGAAGCAGCTGGGTTCAGAAGAGGTTTGAGAACCTCGATGATCAGGGAATTCCTAAGGACGTTCAGCCGCTTGTTGCTCAGGATGAGGAGCGCGAGGGCGAGGCCAGCGCCCGCGATCAGCCAGGAGACCTCAGCAGCCTGGCGACATGGGGAGCCATGGCACAATCAGGCGACCTCAGTAAAGAGGCGCTTGCAGAACTGCAGCGTCAGCCGTGGCGGTCCATGGAAGCCGGCGAGGTTGAACAGTTCGAGAACGCAGCTGAGGCCAGAGAGCTGCTGAGAACGCCTAAGGAGAGAAGGAAGGCTCTAGGATTGGATCAGTACCTGACGACTCAGAAAGCAAACTCAGGGAGACAGAAAACAAGGCTCGTGAATCGTAAGGCGAAGGGCGAGGCCAGGGCAGCGGCGAGGACAGAGACCCTCTATGGCATCAGAAAGCGCAAGTCTGAGGGATACTCGACGGCTCAGGCGTTCCAAATGTCAGTGACCCCGAAGACAGGCAACAGGAGCGCCCCCAAGCCTAAGAGGACGGCTCAGGCGCTTAAGAAGCAGCGGTTCACGAAGGCTCTCCAGGCGAAGGCCGCTAAGGCGAGGGAGAAGAAGGCAGCTCAGGCGAAGGCCGCTGAGGACGAGGAGGCGGCGAAGCAGGCGAGCCTTGAGGAGGCCTGGCAGGACTCGAGTTTTCCCGAAAACATCAGTTGCTGACTCTGGCTATGCTTCAGAGGGTTCTGAGATCTGAGTCGCTTCCACTACGGAATCAGTACCAGTTCCCAGAAAACTCTTAGTCTTTTTTTTGGAGATTGATGGGGTCCTGGCATTGTCAGGGATCAGTGCCAGTTCCGAGGGAATCCTATGCAATTTGAGGACGACGACGACGACGACGACGACGACGACGACGACGACGTGGGCGACGACGACGACGAGGACGTTGACGACGACGACGACCACGACGTCGCGGCTTTTTTTGGGTGGTGGTGGGGTGCTAAGGTAACGCCTCGGTGCTGGGCGGCGGGGGTGCCCCGGGATGGGCCATCCCATGCGACGGCCGAAAAAAATATGTTCTCAAAGGGGTTTGCAATATAAAACTCTATGAGAGGAGGAGGAGGAGGAAAAGGAGGTGGAGGAGGAGGAGGAGGAGAAAAAAGGAGGTGGAGGAGGAGGAGGGGAGCGACGGCGAGGGGAAACGCTTCTGATGTTGTCCGGGAAACGTCGAAGTCGTGTGGATCAGTACCTCAAGAAAGATTTCAGGGTTGAGCGCGAGTACATCAGCGGCGAGTCAGTCTTCGGGATAGTGGGCGCTTGCACGTACGCTCACAACGATGATCAGGAGATCAGCATCATGGACGACAGTATGAGCATCCAGCGCGTGCCACTCGCCGCGTGCTCAGAGATGACTAAGAGCGTTCAGAAGCCGAAGCCTCTGATGACGTTTGAGCACACCAGCGTCAGTACCAAGCGTCAGATGCTCGGTCGGCTCGGCATGGTCAGCCCGGAATCAGCTGCTCCTGCATAATTCAAGAGAACTTCAGCCCTCGCCGATGGTCAGACCATCCAGCTTTGGTCAGTTCTGGTGGAAAACACTTTCTCTCAGGCGAGCTTCTTCACCTGGTCGCCAGACAGCTTGAACGTCTTTTTTTTTTTCTGAGGCTTCTCCACGAGCAGGACGATGAGGGGTACGGACTTCAGGCCGAGGCCTTCAGGAGATCCGTCAGCCGGTACGACAAGGTCTTCTTTCCAGTTCAGTGTCCTCAGGGCGAGGAGTCGCACGAGTGAGGACACTGGACCCTCCTCGTCGTCGAAGCGATGGAGAACGGCGTCAGGCTGGAGGAGCCTCGGATCAGGTACTACGAGACCTTGGACACGGTCAATGAGGTGTGTCAGGAGAGAGCGCTGCTCCTCCTCCAGGCGATCTTTCCAGACTTGAGCGGAAAGTCACTCGTGAGTGCGCTCACGAGGCATCAGGTATTCAGGCAAGCTGGAACGGATTGCGGGTACTGGGTCATGCATTACCTTGAGCTGGAGGTCAGGGGGCTGTCAGGTGAGGGCGGCGCTCCGATCGCCACGCCGAGGATCCGGAAGAAGGCCGCGATCGCTAAGTGTGTCAGTGCGGTGAGGCAACTCGAAAAAAGCGAGGGTCAGCTGGCTTGCAGACTCTAAGCTGAAGGACGCGAAGCGAGCGGCTGCCCAGGCGCTCCTTCAGGCGAAGACTACGAAGGCGCAGACAGATGAGAAAGAGGCCGAGGAGCTCAGGAACAGAGCTGAGGAGGCGGCGCTCGTCTGTATCTGGCGCAAGACGCTTCCCGACGCCATCCCCGACGACCCGAGGGAGGTGAGGATGGGGGCTCAAGGCGGAAGAGAACCAGACATTGAGGCAGGAGGTCAAGGACGCCGGCAGGAAGTTCATGGAACATCAGATCCATGAGGCTTCAGGTAAATCTTCCAAACCTGCTGGTCAGGGAGGCGCTCAGAAGGAGGTGGCCAAGGAGGCGCCTGAGGCTCCGCCTCAGGGCAAGCCCGCAGCGGAGACGCAGGCTCAGGGCGAGGCCGCTGCCGAGGCGAAGGCTCTGGCGAAGGCCGCTGCGCAGGCGGGGGCTCAGGAGAGTGCCGCTGCTGAGGCCGAGGCGCAGGTCAAGGCAGCTGCTGAGGCGAAGGCCCAGGCCAAGGCCGCTGCGCAGGCGGAGGCTCAGGGGAAGGCCGCTGCCGAGGCCGAGGCGCAGGTCAAGGCAGCTGCTCAGGCGGAGGCTCAGGCCAAGGCCGCTGCTGAGGGGAACGCTCAGGCTAAGGGCGCTTCTGAGACGGAGGCTCAACCCAAGGCTGCTGCTGAGGCAGAAGCTCGGGCGAAGGCCCCTGGCGAGGCGGAGGCTGGCGCCAAGGCCAAGGCCGCGGCTGCCGAGGGGATGGCTCAGAAGGAAGCCCAGGAACAGCTGGCAGCGTCGGAGCGTAAGGAGAAGGGACAGAGGGGCTTCGAGAAATGGCTGAGGAGCTTGCCGTTGCCGGTTCTTCAGGCAGCGTTCGACCAGATCCAGTTCGCGAGCCTGAACAAGGACGAGTGTCAGGCGTACGTCAGCCACATGGAGATGATCCAGACAGTGCAGGTATGTGCTAAGGGCGAGTACCGCTCAGGCTGCGTCGCGTGCAGCCATGAGCACGCCCTCGGGCATTGCGTGAGGCATGGGGAACCGCCGTCGTGGTGGAGGATGAGCACGATGAGCGTGCTCAGGGCCATGTGCAGGTGAATAAGGCGTAGTGAGCTTGCCAGCCTGTGTTGGGCATCCTTTTTTTCGGAATTCCGGCTTTCAGTGCTCGCGTCCTCAGCGAGACTGCCAGATTGTCTCACTTGAGACTCCGAGACCGCCCGAACGTTCAGGCGCCGAGGGCAGGCGTCGCGAAGAAATGGCTGAGGTTGCTTCTCTCCTTCAGTCAGTCCGATTCAGTTGTGAGTCCGATTCAGTTGTCTCGCATTCAAGGGCGCTGCCGCGCGACTCCGCGACGTAGGTGTTCATAGCTTTTCTCGGTTTATTTCATGGGTTTCGTTTGGTGTTTCTAAGCTTTTCCATAGGTTTTCTCAGGTGTGCATTCGTTTTCTTCAGCTTTTCATTGTTTTTCACTGTTTCTTTAATTGTCTTAGCTTTTCTTACCTGTTCGATATTTTTGTAGCTATTCCTTTACTCTTTTACATTGTTCTGTAGTTTTCTTCAGTTTTTCTTTAGTTTTCCTCAGCTCTTCCTGCGCTTTTCTTTAGTTTTCCTCAGATGTTCGTTAGTTTTCGCTGCTTTTTCCTCAGCTTGTCCTCAGGATTTCCTTCAGCTTTTCCTCAGCTTCTCCTCAGTTGTTTCATTGCTTTTCGTGGCTTTTCTCAAGCTTTTGCTCAGCTGTCCTTTTTTTTTTTTTTTTTTTAGTTTTCCCCAGTTTTCCTTACCTAGCTCAGATTTCCTCAGAGTTTCTTCCGAATTCCCCTTGGTTTTCAGTGGAATTCCATAGTTTTCTATTTAGTTTTCCTTCGAATTTCTTGAGATGTTCATGAGTTGTTCTTCAGCTGTTCCTTAGCTTTTCCTTAGCTTTGCTTAAGCTTTCGTCAGTTTTCTTTTCCACAGCTTTTCTTTAGCTGTTCCTTATCTTTTCTCAGCTTTTCCTGAGCGTGCCCCTGGGTTTCCTTCAGCTTTTCTTTAGTTGTCCTCAGCATTTCCTGATGTTATATCAGCATTTCCCTAGCTCTTCCTTAGGTGTGTTGAGGTTTCTGTTAGTCCTGCAGCTTTACTTTCCGCATAGTTGTACCTTTCAGCCCCCCCCCCTCCCCCCAGCTTTTTTTTTTGGATGTCGGGTGCTAAGGTAACGCCGCGGCGCTGGGCGGGGGGGGATGGACCACCCCATGCGACGGCCGAAACAAATTAATTTCTCCAATGGAGCTTGCAATAGAAATCGCAAGGAGAAGAAGAGGAGGAGGAGGAGGAAGAGGGGCAGGACGACTGCGGCGACGACGACGACGGCGGCGACGGCGACGGCGACAGAGACTTACTTAAGTTCAAAGAATGAAGTCCAAGACGGTCCCTGAGGTGACAGAAGGCTCGCGCTTCAGGCTTCGACGCTCACCCGTGGCCATTGTGGCTCAATTTTTAGGCTCGCGCTTCAGTCTTCGACGTTCAGCCGCCGACGGCATCAGCCCAGCTTCTCGCGCAGGCTCAGTTCCGCAATGTCTGCAGATCCTTCCAGTTCTGAGGAGGGCGCGTACGCGAAGATGCACGGGGTCCCTCAGGGCGAGGACGCCTTGTCGCTCAGGGAGCGGAGGAGGCTCAAAGCAGAGGCTAAGAGGGAGGCCGCTGCTGACCGGAAGGCTCAGGCCAAGGCCGCTGCTGAGGCGGCGTCAGTGATGAAACGCCCTGCAGCGCAGGGAACGCCCAGGAAGAGGCCTGCCGCGGAGGTCAGCAGGCAGCAGCGCTCAGGAGAGCAGGGAGCAGGCAGCAGCGCTCAGGAGAGTGAGGACTCCCACAACGGCAGCTACGATGAGCCGCCCAATAGTCAGCCCCAGAGTCAGCTGGGAAAGCCCGCCGCTAAGGTTGACGCGTTGAGCCGCCTCGGGCCTTCAGGCAGCGCGCCTTTCAGAGGCCTCCTCAGAGTCAAGTCAGACTATTGTCTCTCGTGCGCCCTGTCAGACCTCTGCACTGTGCTCAGGCCGCACCTCGCCGTCCGCTTCAGAGTTTTGGCTTTCAGTGTTCGCGTTATCAGCGAGCCCGCCTTCCTTTTCAGAGTTCTGGTGTTCAGCTCTCGCGTCGTCAGCGAGACCGCCAGATTGTCTCACTTGAAACCCAGAGAACGCCCGAACGTTCAGGCGCCGAGGCCAGGCGTCGCATAGAAGATGATTCAGCTCGCCTTTTGCCCGCTGCCAGTCCGATAGATTTATTTCAGATTCAGCGGCGCTGCCGCGCGGTTCCGCCACCGCGCTCGGGCGGGCGATGCAACAAGAGGGGGGGGGGTTCTAATTAGTGCTTCGCAAGGACGCGCGCGCAGGACATATCAGCAAATTCTAACGCTTCGCGTGATCCCCACCAGCCCCTCCAGAACCTATCAACTTGAAAAAGGAAATCCGGTGTTCTCAGCTGTTCCGCAGTTTTTTTTACTTGGGATGTATCAGCTTTTCCTTGCGTTTTCTGAGCTTTCCCTTAGTTTACTTGAGCTTTTCCTGACGTTTCAATGTTTCTGTTGATTGTCCTTGGCTTTTCTTGCATTTTCGCTGTTTTTTTTGTTAGCTTTTCATTTGCTCTTTCAGCTCTTCCCCAGTGTCCCTCAGTCTTACTTTAGTTTTCCTCAGCTCATCCGCAGCCTTTCCTTGGTTTTCCTAAGCTGTTCCTTCGTGTTCTTATTTTTCTTTGGTTTTCCTCAGCTTTCTTTAGCTTCTCCTCAGCTTTTCTTCAGCTCTTCCTTAGCTTTTCCTCAGATGTTCCTCAGCTTTCCTGGGCATCTCCTCAGCTTTTCCTCAACTTGTTCTCAGGTTGCCTCAGTCTTCTTTAGCTTTCCCAAAGCTTTTCCACAGCGTCTAGCTCTTCCTCGCCTTTCTTTAGTTGTCCGCAGTTTTTCCTTAGTTGTCCTTTGCGGTTCCTCTGCTTTTCCTTAGCTTTTCCTTCCGAATTTCCTCAGCTTTCTTCAGATTCTCGTTAGCTTTTCCTTAGGATGTCTCAGTTTTCTTTAAGATTGCACGAGCTTGCCCTTAGGTGTTCTAAACTTTTCTTTGGTTTTCTCTAGCCTTACCTACGCTTTTCCCCAACGTTCCCCCTTACTCTTCAATGGAAACCAGAGAGATCTTTGCTTGCACTCTTCGCATTCCTTGCGAGTTTCTTTCTTGGCCCCATAGGGAATCCCGCCGCATGGTTTTGTTTGGCTTTTGCGCGCGGGTGCTAAGAATATCGCTCGGCTGAAGTGGCCCCTCGGAATATTGAATAAAAACCGGGTGCTAATAATAACACAGGGGGGGTTCTTAAATGCTTTTCCCGGTTAGTGGCCCCGCAGGGCGACAAGACCTATCGCATCGCGGACGACGCCCCTTACGAGATGGATGAGCTGGGCCGGGCCGCCCCAGGCGAGCATTGCAGATCTCGGAGGTGAGTTCGAGAGAGAATTTCGCAGCGAGCTCGAGGGCATGGGCGCCGAGCTCATCGCCGCCGCCGCCCTGGGCCCCACGCAGAACATTGTCTGCGAACGGCGCGGCGGCGAATGGAAGTACATTGCCGAAGCCATCATCGACGAGTACCAGATGGACTTCACCGTCCCAGGCGCCGTGGAGCGGCTCTGCAACGTGCTTAACTGGGCGAAGAACAGCAAGGTGGGGCCCACAGGATACAGTCCTGCGCAGTGGGTGCTCGGACGTGGGTGCCGATTGCCCTGCAGTATTCTTTCCAACCGCGCGAGGCTCTCGCCCCACCGGCGCGCCAGAGACGAGCAGACGCTCCAGCAGCGCATGGGCACTCCTGCTGCAGCTCAGCGCGCAGCCCAGGCAGTCGAGCATGATCGTCGTCTTTCAGCAGCGTTCCTGGCCAAGAGTCGCGGACAGGCGGCTCGGCCTTCGAGCCTCGCATTCAGCATCGGAGATCAAGTCTTTTATTGGCGTGGCCTGAGCAAGGCCACGAAGATGTGGAACCTCAAGTGGCATAGGCCCAGGGTTGTCATCGGCTACAAGGGGAACAGTGTCTGGGCTTCGCATAGGACTGCCACCCCCAAATGCTCCCCGAAGCACCTGCGGCCTGCGCTTGCAGAGGAGCGCGTGCCCTGGAATGAATTTGCTGGGCGCTCTGGCCCACGATGGCGAGCCCGAGTTCACGAGGACGCGCCCTACATGGAGGGCCCCCCTGGGACCGACACCGACTACTATGACATGACTGTCGACGACGAGGAGATCCCAGGTCTTACCCACACTCACCCCCGACGTCGCGGATGCGTCGCCAGCGCGTCGCCGATGCATCGCCGAAGCATTGCCGATGTATTGGCGATGCGGCGCGATCATCCGACCACACCTATTCCGATCCCATCTAGGAGGCCCCGTAGCGGGGATAAGGATTCGGAGAGGGTGGGTGATGAGGATGCGAGTGTCGAAGCACGGCGCAAACATAAACTTCTGGCGTTCCGCGCGGATCTCTTGGATCCGCGATGGGCCCCCCCAGCGGCTCTTCCGGCGCCGACCCTGGCGCGCGGAGCGTGCCAGGGAGGGGGGTCCAGCGCAAATCCAAAAAATCCGTGCGGAACACCAGAATCTTGCGTTTTTTTTTGTTTTTGTTTTTTTTTTTACTTTTAGAAGGCAGGGATAGGGGAGGAGGGAGGGCGAGAAGGAGGGGGAGTGGCAACAAGTTAGATGGAGACGAGTTCTTTTTCATCGATGTGCCTCCGCAGGAGCGAGCGTTGGTCAGGGACGCCCCCCAGCAACGCTCCACTCGTTGTGATAGCTTGAAATCGGGCGCGTCCCTCCGCAGGAGGAGTATCCAAACATAGCTCAAGATAGTGAGGGGGCGATGTTTGTTTGGCATTTTTTGATTATGTTGTGACCATTTTCATTCTTCGTCGAAAATCCCCCTGTAGGGGACAGGCCCGATCTAAGGATATACTCGGTCGTTCAAGGATGGCACGGCGGACATAGCACAAATCGCGAAAGCGATTTTGACCTATTGGAGAAAAATCCCATGTGTTTGATCGAGAGCGTTGTTTTTCGAGCCTGACTTGTGCTATGTCGGTCGCGTTTCGCGCGAATCTGTTCGATTCTGCCGCCAAGGGGATGGAGTGAGATATGGAGAGAGGGAATAAAATAATAAGGGGAATGTATCGGAGAAGCCTCGCCCCTCAAAACGCCGCCCCGGCGGCGAGAGAAGGGGGCTCTCCTGATTTGTGCTATGTAAGCCGCGTGCTATGCGCGCCGTTCCGCCTAGACCAAGTCAGGAGGGGGGAGGGGGAAGGGAGGGAGGGGGTCTGGAACAAGCTAGGTGCGCTCGCGTCAACTCTGACATCCTACCCCTCCCTCCCATCCCTTGCCATGGCGCAGATCCCTTCTCTACTCGCGCAGTCGGATGTCGAGCAGGGCAATGACCCCGAAAAGGTACGCGAGGCATTGTAGAACACGGCGTGGCATTGCGTAGAAGAGCACCGCGAAGCGTAGTATCAACCTAGCATTGCATTGCATGCCGTGGCATGGCACGGGAAATGACGCCAGCGCTGCAGCGGGAGCACGAGTCGAAACGAGCGGAAGCGCGGAAAGGAGGCCAGCTTTGCAGCGGGAGCACGATTCGGAACGAGCGGAAGCACGCCAGAATCGGCCCGGGAGGCTTCCCGGGCGCCAGAACCAGAAATTCAACATTTTCAGAAGAAAAGTGTGTATTGGAATGGCCTGTTTTCGGCGCCGCCTCGGAACTAGATTTCCCGGCGCCGGCCGGAACCGGCTCCGGACCCAGCCCGGGCGCCGGCAAGGGCGCCGGCTCGGGCGTCCGGCCCGGGCGCCGGCTCGGGCGCCGGCCCAGGCGTCGGAATCGGCCCGGGGGGCCTCCCGGGCGCCGGAAGCAGAAATTCAGCATTTTCAAAAGAAAAGTGTGTGTGTGTGTGTGTGTGTGTGTGTGTGTGTGTGTGTGTGTGTGTGTGTGTGTGTGTGTGTGTGTGTGTGTGTGTGTGTGTGTGTGTGTGTGTGTGTGTGTGTGTGTGTGTGTGTGTGTGTGTGTGTGTGTGTGTGTGTGTGTGTGTGTGTGTGTGTGTGTGTGTGTGTGTGTGTGTGTGTGTGTGTGTGTGTGTGTGTGTGTGTGTGTGTGTGTGTGTGTGTGTGTGTGTGTGTGTGTGTGTGTGTGTGTGTGTGTGTGTGTGTGTGTGTGTGTGTGTGTGTGTGTGTGTGTGTAGAATGGCCTTTTTTCGGCGCCGCCTCGGAACTCGATTTTCTGGCGCCGACCGGAACCAGCTCCGGACCCGGCCCGGGCGCCGGCTCGGGCGTGCAGCCCGGGCGCCGGCGGAAATGACATTGAGGCCAGCGCTGCAGCGGGAGCACGATTCGGAACGAGCGGGGCCCGAAAATGAGGCCGGCGCCTCAGCGAGAGCAGCATTTTGGTAAAAATGCCAGCGAACACCCAGTTCCGGGGAAACCTGTTGTAAAAAAACAGTACGCGGGGGGGGTCGGACACTCCCAGGCCGTCATCAGGGGAAAAGGGAGAGTATTCATATTGAGTAATTGTGCAGCACGTTCTGCATCGGCGATGCAACTCCGACCCCATCTAGGAGGCCTGGAATAGCACAGGTCCATCTTTCTCCTCATCCTGCCTCCTAATCCTGCCTCAATCCCCAGCCCCCCAGTTTTTCGAGCCGCGTCCAGCAATGGTGGCAAGGGCCCCCCCGAGGTCAGAATGTTTCGAAAGTCGATCCTCTCCGAATTCCCCCGAGGCCGGCCTCCTCATCCCCCTGATCTGTGCTGTGTGATGCCCCTTCGCCTCCTCCTCCTCCTCCTTCTCCTCCTCCTCCTTCTCGTCCTCCTCCTCGGCCTCCTCCTCGGCCTTCTCCTCCTCCTCCTCCTCCTCCTCCTCCTCCTCCTCCTCCTCCTCCTCCTCCACCTCCTCCTCCTCCTCCTCCTCCTCCGTCTCGTCCTGACTTGTGCTATGTGATGCCCCCTTTCCCCTTCCTCCTCCCCCATCTTCCTGTTCCTCCTCATCCTCCTGCCCATCCTCCACGTCCGCCTGGACGCGGAGCTTGGGCCCGGGGTTGGCCTTGGCCTTGGCCTTGGCCTTGGCCCCGGCTTTGGCCTTGGGCGGCACGGCTGCTGGCCGCCCCGCCCCGCTGGCCCCCGGGGAAGGGCAATTCTTTTGAGGGCAAAGAGCCACGCTGATGGCCGCAGTCGAGAGGAAGAGGAGGAGGTGGAGGAGAAGGACGAGGAGTGAGAGGAGGAGGCACGCGGGACCAACATAGCACATGAGGGGCTAGGAGGAGGAGGAGGAGGAGGAGGAGGAGGAGGAAAAGGAGCAGCAGGAGGAGGAGGAGGAAACGAATGTGCGCGGCGCTCAGGCGAGAACCACATTTTGAAAGCTACCCGCCCTCAATCCGTGAAACTCTTGCAAATTTAAGAAAACTAATGCGCTCGGCGCTAAGGCGAGAGTCACATGTTGAAAACCATATGTGAAACGAGTGTCACTTTTCATGCTTCAGAGTCATAAGTGGTGGGGAAGTCTCAGGCGAAACGCCCGGCCCGCCCTAAAAACTGGCCTCAGGGTGCGACATGGAGGATCATGGGGGGAGGGGCGAGGATAGCACAGCGCGCACATAGCACAACACAGGAAGCGGGGATAGCACGCAGAAGCTTGGACAGGGGCCGTTCTCGATCTCCCCGGAGCACAAAGTGGCCAAAGTAGCCGAGACATCAAAACATTGGGTACAGAAAATACGAATAAACTCGGTGTTCGAAGATTTACTAAACGTCAAACGCGAGACCCTACGATAGCACAAATCGGTTTTGGTCTGTGCTATCTCAAGGCGACCGAGTATAGCTTCGTTGGAGTGAGTGACGAAAGAGCCTGGGCCCCTGCTGACTTGGGCTAGCGTGCCACCGAGAGCAGCACGACAAGCTTTTCGGCGAGCTCCACCACGAGTTTGACTTCGACCACCAGCCCCTTTACCACCACCATTTCGAGTACCAGCACGGCCACATCCACTACGACGAGCAGCGCCATCACCGACACCCATACGACTACCACGTACACTACCACGAGCACAGGGACGCAGGTGCCGAACTCGCCCTCCCAGCCTTGCTTCAGGATCCTGAGTGTGCCTGGTTGGTTGCAGAGTTCTCCCGCCGTTCATCCTATTCGTTCTGTTGCGCCTCATGATGTTGCTGCTCATATTCCGCTGCGTCTGCGTCCTGCCCCTCCTGCGAGCAGTGCTGTGCGAACGCATGGGTTCCTGGGTCAAGGGGCGGAGGCGACTGAGGGACCGCTTGCGCGCGCTGCCATGCTGGCCCACGCGCCGTTGCAAGGAGGGCGCACGTGTTCGCACTCCGAGTGCGTTGAAAGCGGGTATTTTGGGGGGCTCCCAGATCCCAACATGTCAAGGGCGCCTTCCGCATTCAGTCATTGAACGGCGTCCTCTTCTCTTCTCTTCGAAGGGCGGGCGGAAGCCCAATCTACTTTCAACGCGCTCCTGCTTTATGCTTCTGCCCACTCCTTCCGACTAATGGGTATTCTGGGTCTCTTCATAAGCGTGGGGGGGTACCAGCCCGACGGGGGTCAACCTCGCCTCGTCGTCACGCCGCGACGGGGGTCGGAGCGCCTTCGGCGCGCGCTGGCTGCCCGCGACGGGGGTCGATGTGGGGCTGTCGGCGGGGGTAACGCCCCCCCGACGCTTATCAAGAAATTCGGGTACGCATGTGGGGAGGGGGCGCGGGGGGGCACGCGCGGGGGGGGGGTTAGGGGTTCTTCTGTGGTCATTTGGGAGGATGCCCCCGCGAAAAGGTGGCCTGTGGGGACGGAGTTACCGCGAGCGCCCTTCCCCGCCGAGGGGGCTCTCGGGAGGGGACCCCCGGCAACACTGAACAGCCGATGATGGAGTGAGCCCCATGATGGAGAAGTAAGTGGCTACGGTAGGTTCGTGCAGCGTTGGCACGCCGGCGACGCCGACGAAGGCGTTCGAGGTTGAATTCTGCGACGCGGAAACACTAGGGGACACGGCAACGCCATACGACCCGACGGAATTCAACCTTGAACGATCGGGGCCGCGATCGCTTCAATGTTGAACGATCGACGCGGTGTCAAAAACCTTGGCGCGCGCCGATGTCGCACGAAGCTACCGTACCAAAGCCGTCACTTTGATGCCCTTCTCGATGGCCTTTGGATGGGAGGGAGCAGCCGGGGTCCTCCATCGAGAAGCGAGCAGCAGGCTGGGGGGCTGCACTATCCGGGATGGCCCGATGACTTTCCGATAATGGAGTGCAGTCAGGAGCTCAAGTGTAGGCAGGCGCGTTGGACGCTGGAGGCGGGTGTTAGGGAGCAGGGTGGCATTACCGCAGAACCGACGCGCCGCATCAGGATTTGTCTTGCCTATTCTGGAGACGGATATGGCAAATTTGGGCTCTCGCCTCAGGAACACTTGTTTTGAGGTCTGCGCCCTCATTACTCCGAGTGAGGAGTGACCTCATACATGGTGAAAGCAAGGACAGCGAGAGGGATGCGACGAGGAGGCCGACGGCGACGAGGAGGACGACCCGAAAGAAGCAGGAATAAGCAGGGAGGATGGACTGCAGCGGACGACCCCATCCATTGTGAA